TAGCCATTTGCCAAAATAGAAATGTGCCATTTTGAGCCATTATGTCCATGCTCAATGGTACATGGCCACAAATTCACCAAATTAAAATTCGCCAATCACCAGCAATTTGCCAAATTTAACTGCCTCCAAAATTTCCTGCTATACGGTATCTAGATGTAAAAAATTATTTTTCAGAGATTGTAATTTGTAATGTAAAATATTTAGTTTGTTAAATAATGTGTGAAATTTGTAGTAAGCCATAATTGATTGGTATGTAGTATGATAACTATGAAATACTTCAATTGAGATAATTACTGCAGTTATTTTAATGCTCTATCCTCCTACAGGTACAAACAAGCCATTGATAGAAGGTCCTCCACTTTCTCCTATTGCATTAATGGATATACCAGATGATACAGTACAATAAAAGACAAGGGGAGATGGTGCTTTATTTATTGTTTAATTTTGGATTATTAACTTTATGTCATACCACCAGGCATGGGGTCAAGCACTTGGTGCTTGTACTTAAGCACAAATAAGCAACAGCTTTCTAAGTACTTAGTGCTGCCTACAAGCACCTTTTCAATATAATCTATGTGCTTTGTACTTGTACTGTATTACTTTTACAAATTTACAAAAGTGCTTTTAAGTACAGCAAAAATTGCATGTGAATAGGGTACGGTACATGTAGTAACAGTAGACTATACAAGTTTACTAGCACATTGTGTCATTGTGTGCTAGCTTGAAAAATGGTAATGGCATCACCAAAGCTCCCTGTTGTTTTCATTTATTATGAACGATAATTAAATGACTAAGTGCACAATGAAGAACTACATTTTACTTTATTGTTACACTTGGTGAATGTCTACTTATTAGTGTACTTAAGCACTCTGGAGAATACTTGTTCTTGTACTCAAGCACATTATGTTAAAGCTAGGGATTGCGCTTGTGCTGGTACTTCTAACACATTTAAATGCTTGTGTTTGTGTTTAAGTACATTTCCTAGTGCTTGACCCCATGCCTGCATACCACAACTTAACTGGAATTTACTTGGAGACATTTTTTAAACCATAGGTTATAGTCTTTGCTTCTTATCAAAAGTTGGATTGTTTTTAAATGTAAAAAATGTGCCTGCAACATAAGGACATCAATATGCTTTAGAAAATGTATTAATATATTGGGGTGATTTCAGAGCCAATTAAAAAATGCGAGATGGCATTTTTCAAAAATTAGCCTTTAAAAAATGGTCATAACTTAGTCTTGTTGCCCAGCCCCTTCGCTTCAGGACTAGACTAGTCATAACTCAAAAGATTTAAATCGGAATCAACTCAAACTTTGCATAAGGACATCAAATTGTATCGCAAAATATAATAAAGATTGGGGCTGATTCTAGAGTCAAAAAAAACATAGGCTATATATAGTACAGAGCTTTTTTCAAAATTTTGGCATTTAAAAAACTTGCCGTAACTTAAGAATTTTTAGTTGGCATCAGCTCAAATTTTCTACACAGCATAAGGACATTAATGTATATCAAAAAAATATAATAAAAAATGGGGTCAATTTTGGAACCACTTTTTGAATAAAAGCACATGCTGTAGCCTAGGGTATTTAAAATTGCGATAACTCAAATAGGTTTTTATTCAGAATCAGCCCAAATGTTCTACACAGCATAAGGACATGTAGATCTATCAGAAAATGTAATAAAACTTTTCAAAGATTTTGGAGCCATTTTTGGAAAAAGGTAGCTTGTGTACTTCTCTGAAATAAAATAACCTGACATTCTCACTCAAACACTCTCTAATATCAATCAGTTAATAAAATACATTTAAAAACATGCTTACGTTACTTACATTAAAAATGCATGAGAGTCTATTACAGCTACAAGCTCCTACAAGAGAGAAAATGAAAGAAAGGAAAGGAGGAGAGAGATGAGAACAATAAAGTATAAATAATAATCCACTATCACATTCTGTCAATCTGATAAAATAAATAAAAATAACAAAATTAATTGATTAATAATAAACACCTTAATGTGGTCATTTTAAATAACGAGCCCCACCCTTTGCATTCCTTGCATGCATCCCTAGCCTTTAAAAGCTTGAATCCGGTTAGCTCGTATCTATGATTAGCTCGAGAGTTATTGGCTTGTTCCGAGGCTTGTTCTTTGATTAATGGCAACAAAAACCAGTTCTTGTTCCTCTTCTCTGAGTCTCTTCTCTTCTCCTTTGACTATTGGTAATGTTGATTAACTACCGTATAGCTAGAAATTTCTGTGGCCCAAAATTTTTGCGAAGTTTGCGAATTTGAAAAAAATTCGCAGAAATTAAATCCTCAAAAATAAGTAAATTAAAAAGTGTGGCTCGCCACGCCTTTTTAGTGTAATTAAAGTGAAGCACATGGCGTGTTCTTGGCACTGTTCCAGTACAATTTTAAGCAGAATCAAAGAGTAATCCTATCCTGCCTAATATCCTGATAGAGCTTTGTGTCATCATCAACTATAGTTCTGGTAAGTAGTGAAGAGCAGCCTTTGATCAGTAGTGTGATCAAGTGAATT